TGTAAGGATATGGTACAGGTTGAGTCTCCTTTATCCAGAATTCTGAAATCCTAAATATTCCAAAACCAAACCTTTTTCCATGGGTGGCCGAGATAGTGACATCTTTGCTTTGTGATAGTTCAGTGTGCACAAACTTTGTTTCATGCATAAAATTATTTTAAAATATTGCATAAAATTACCCTCAGGCTATTTGTATAAGGTGTGTTGTTGTTGTTGTGTGCCTTCAAGTCATTTCTGACTTAATGGCAACCTTATCATGGGGTTTTCCTGGCATGATTTGTTCAGAGCGGGTTTACCATTGCCATCCTCTTAGGCTGAGTGAGTGTGATTTACCCAAAATCACACAATGGGTTTCGTGGCCGAGTGGGAAATCGAACCATGGTCTCCAGAGTCACAGTCTAGTGCTCAAACCACTAAGCTGCACTGGCTCTAAACATAAATGAAATTAGTGTTTAGACTATCTCCAAGATACCTCATTATGTACGTATATGCAAATAGTTATTCCAAATCCAAAACACCTCTGGTCCCAAGCATTTCGTATAAGGGAGACTTGAGGTGTATGAAAGATTGTCTCTTTCATGTACCTAATGCCTTCCCTTGCTTCCTTTATGATGATGTTGTTATCATTTATGTATATAGCACCATCACTTTGCATGGCACTTTACAAATAAAGGAACAACAAATCAGTTCTCTGCCATTAGGCTTACAATCTAATTAAGACATGACACAAAACGAGAAGAGGATGACAGTGTGTGTGTGTGTGTATGTGTGTGTGTGTGTGTGTATGGGGGGGGGGGTTAAGTCCAGCATATACTGCCACTTTTTCTCTCCTCTGAAGCCAAAGCTGTGGCATTTGGGATGGAGCAAAGGCTTTTCATCTGCATCTGGGCCTAGGCATGATGGATATATCTATTGTGATTCTATTCTAGTTTTAGGTTTGAGGAAAGTATCAACAAATTGCTTTATTTCTACACATCCTGGCATCTGTGATGTCCATTCTGAATGTGTGGAAAGGCTGATTGATATATTTTCTGAACAATATTCTATTCAAAGAAATTCCATAGTAAAGATGACAGATCTCAGAGGATTGCCTCTGTCTCTAAGGCAGGTTCTGGCTTAGCCACTCTTAACAGATGAGCGAGTGCCATCTTAGAACTTAAAATCAACCTCTAAATGATACTCATTGGTTATAAGAGAACTATATATCTTTTCAAAAATTATAACAGAAAATAAATATGATATAGATAACTTGAACAAGGTGCTGGAACATTTTGTAATGCAGTGAGAGCTCTTCAGTTTATTTTCAAGGGCAATGAATAGGCAGATGTTGCATCCAGGTACTACTGGAATGTGTAGAACAGGGGTAGGCAACCTTTCCCCTTTAAGGGCCGAGGGACTTCAGCTCCCAGAAGCCTCAGCCATGTTGGCCAATAGTCCCATGTTGGCCAATAGCTCCTGGGATTCTGGGAGCTGAAGTCCCTCGGCCCTTAAAGAGGAAAGGTTGCCTACCCCTGGTGTAGAAAGTCACTGATCTAGCTCATAATGGACTAGAGCAAATAGGTATATAACCCCCCAAAGTTACTAGTTTAATTAAGAGTACTAGTTATCACTAGCAGCTGGCAGAGAAGGATGGAAAGTTGCACTTTTATGCTAGGTGTGCAGGAGGGTACTTTAGCCCCCCATTTTGTTTCTGTTCCAGGCTTAGGGAAAGAATAGATCCCTCCATTTCTCCTCCATCAGTCTTACTCATTCATATGCAGAGGCTGCCAGGCAAGTTCTTAAAAAAACACAGTGCGGCTACAGCCAGATCACTAGACAGTTTAGAAGCAAGTGTTAGTGGTTGTTTGACTATAACATGAAAGTGTGGATTAAATATGAAATATTGCAAATAAGACCTGAGATTGGGAGTAAACACTTTGTCATGATAATGACATCTCCCTGGGGTAGACATGTAAAGAATACTCACAGTTTTTCTCATCCTTATTAAGAAAGTATGTCTGATGCAGTGGCTCAAGTGGTTAAGATGCTGCTGATAGCAAGATTGGCAGGTTGGCAGTTTGAGGCCCGGGTGCTGTTTGATGGGGTTTGCTCCTGTCACTAGTCCCAGCTGCTGCCAACCAAGCAGTTTGAAAGCATGCAAATGCAAGTAGATAAATAGGTATCACTTCAGTGGGAAGGTAAACAGCATTCTGTGCAATCATGCTGGCCACATGATCACAGAGTAGTTTCTGACAACGCTGGCTCTTTGGCTTAGTAACAGAGATTAGCACCGCCCCCTACGGTTGGACATGTCAACCTTGTCAATGGGGAATATCTTTACCTTTACCTTTATATCTGAACACAGCAAGACACCCTGTCAAGAAAATGATGAACCACAGCAACAAGTTGGGACTTTTGTAAGTTTGGTTTTTTTTAAAAAAATGTGGGTTTGTGCAAAGGAACATCCCTCCCCCAACAAACAAGGGTGTTGCGTAGAAAACAGTGGTGGTTTTGCAAATACATTTTTTGCACCAAAATCCACAAGTTTTCCCTTTGTTGCAAAAAAGTCCTGAAATACAAGAAATAATTGAAAAAATGAACAGAAATGTTCATAATCTTACCCAGAAGATTGAAAACTATTTAAATTCTTTTCTTTGTGCACAAGCACAGTTCACATCTTTTCTCTGCATATATCAGCTGTAGGCAAGCAGATTACCTAAATTATTTTTCATTTTAGAAATTGACAGAAAGGGTTCTGTGAAGAGCTAAGGAAGAACAGTGTTCTTGTTTGATATGTGGTGGCTCTCTGCTTCTGAACAAGATCCTAAAGTGTAAAGATATATCTTTGAATACCAAACACAGAAATTTCCACACCATTATATTCCTGATTTCTATGTATGGCCATGAAAGCTGATGGGAAGAAAAGTCTATGTTTGGCAGTGAAAATAACTGACAGGACGGAAAGCAACTCATTTGAAATGTGGTGCTGGAGGACAGTTCTGCAGATACCATTAACAATGAAAAAAGGCAAATCAATAGTTCTAAGAGCATGTCAAGCCTGAACTCTCCCTAGTAGCCAAAATGACTATGCTGACACTGTTGTACTTTGGACATATAATGATGAGGAGACAAAATAACCATAACGTATTAGGAACCTGGGCCAGAACTAACAAAATGCATTTTAACAGGGAGAAATGCAAGGCAATACACTTAGGCAGAAAAAATGAAATGCACAGATGTAGGATGGGTGATACTTGGCTTGACAACAGTCTATGTGAAAGGGATCTAGGAATCTTAGTAGGCTACAAACTGAACATGAGTCAACAGTGTGATGCGGCAGCTAAAAAAAGCCAATACATTCTAGGTTGCATCAATAGAAGTATATTGTCTAGGTCGACGGAAGTAATAGTTCCACTTTATTCCACTTTGGTCAAGCCTCACTGGAATACTATGTACAATTCTGGGCACCATAATTCAATAAGGATATTAACAAACTAGATTGGTTCCAGAGGAGGGTGACCAGAAGGGTAAAAGGAAACCATGCCCTATGAGGAATGTCAGGGAGCTGGGTATGTTTAGCCCGGAGAAGAAAAGGTTAAGAGGTGGCATGATAGCCATATTTAAATATTCAAAGGGATGTCATATTGAAGATGGAGCAAGCTTAGTTTTTTGCTGCTCCAGAAACTAGGACACGGAGCAATGGATTCAAGTTACAGAAAAAGACTCCACCTAAATACAAGGAAGAACTTCTTGACAGTAAATGCTGATCAGCAGTAAAGTGTGATGCTTTAGAGCAGGGGTCCCCAAACTACGGCCCGCGGGCCGAACCCGGCCCATCGAGGCCTTTCAACCGGCCTGTGGCCGGTCCTGCCGCCACCTGCATGTGACGCAGGGCGCCATTTTGTGTTCCAAAATGGTGTTTGTCGTTGCGCGTGCATACGCGCAACTCTGGGCCCATTTTGTGTTCCAAAACAGCGCCGGAGTAGTGTGCATGCGCAATGCGTCCGCCATTTTGTGTTCCAACAGATTAATGTTCTGTAGTAATGCTACAGAAGATCCACCACATTAAAATGTGGGCTCTTAAATCAGTTTTCTCATCTGGAAGGAAGGAAGGAAAATATGAACACAATTTTTACCACACAGTGTTTCAAATAGCCTGCGTGTCTCTGTCTGGTTTTTGTTTGTTTGTTTGTTTGTTCGTTTTGGTGTTTGTGTTTTCGCCCTTCAAATGAACTGTTCACTGGTGTAAGGCTCTAAAGTTAAAAGTATGGTGGTGAGTGTTTTCTTCCTCTCAGTTCTGTGAGGAAACATATTATTTTGCAAAATAATACTGTTGTCTTACTTTGGAAAATATGTATCTCTTCCCTTATGGTTTCCCACCTGCCAAAATATAGTCAGCAAGCTGACATCACTGCTTCTCGTTTAGGGTCAGCTCATTATTCTGTAGTTCCAGTTTAACAGAAAACAGGTTAGGAAATAGAGAATCACAAGAGGAAACTCTTCATATTACTAATAATAATAGTATGGGAAGACAGCGTGTCAGAAAGTTGTGGTATGATCCACCTTGAACAGTGTGACTGTTTTTACCAAGGCTGTGAGAAGCTCAGAACTGACCTTTTAAAAATTATTTTTACTGGCCCCCTTGATGATAGATAAACAAGGTTAACCTGAGGCCTACATAACCAGCAGGAAATTTGGGTCACAGATAGTTACATTTTTAAAACGTAAGTTTAAAGGGCTGTTCAAACAGTATAATTGATTGATGTGTAACAACGCTGAGCACTCCTAAATCATTAGGAGTGGTGGCTAATTAATGACAAACTGCTAGAGGGTTTTGTAGAGACAAATTTCCTAATTCTCTGTGATGTTTGCCTTCTCTCTAAAGGAATCGGCTTATTCCCTGTTTTCATTTGTGCTTCAGCTCAGCTAGCTTGTTTACATAAAACATTCCTGTTCAGACATGACAGATTTTTTCTTCTTCTGGTGAATGTATTTGAGTGAAAGGGCCATAACCCAGAGTTAGAGTCCGTAGTTTACTTGAAAATGGTTCCAGTTTCAATATATGTCATCTCCAAAGAGCTACTGCCAACTGGTGTAGGCAATGTTAAATGGCCCAATGGTTTGACTAAATATGAAATACCTTCCTATGTGCAGACTATATCTGTTGTTGTTGTTGTTGTTGTTGTGTGTCTTCAAGTCATTTCCGACTTATGGTGACCCTAAGGTGAACCTATCATAGGATTTTCTTGGCAAGTTTCTTCAGAGGAGGTTTGCCATTGGCATCCTCTGAGGCTGCGAGAAGTATGTCCATCTTTATTTTTCTGTGCAATTATGAGCCTCCCTTTCTATTCAAAAGGTGTGGATTGCAAGAAGAAACAATATTTGTGCTCATACATTAACACTAAATTAGTATTTATTTTCTTATGTATTATAACACTAGCTATTTGTT